GAACAAAAAGCGAGTGTGCGAATGAATGCCAAATTTGATGAAATTAATCAAGCACATCAAAAAGTTCACGAAACACACCTGGAAACTTCCAGCTCGCTGTGACTCAGTTGACGAGTTCTCTTGAACAAGGTCAGTGAGAATATCTTAGAAAGGAATATCAATGCCAAAATTTTTCAAACGAAGCCAGAGATTATAAGACGTTGCGAGGACCTTTTAAATGCAAAAAAAAATAAGATATACAACCCACCACGAGTTCACTATGTGGTAGAACAGAAAACGGATATTTTGGATCAAGTTGTCGTAAGCCTTACGGATCCCTCTTTGACACTTATCGAAGGACTTTCTAGGTATGAAACACAACAGACGGCGACACATTTTGCTATTTCTGATTACGAGAGATTCAGAGGAAAGTCAGTACTATGATGACGAAGGTCACGTAAGATATGATATTCGCAATTGCAGAGAGAGTGGCAGAGGTTAATGGACAACAACTGGATAATGGTCCCTGGAGGGTTCAAGTTATCCCAGATTAGTATCAGTTGGACTTTGGATTTGGCTCGAGTGGTAACGGACCTGGACAGTTTAATGGTCCTTATGATATTGCTTAAGTGACTATAAAACAGGAACTATTGCCGCATCTGACTGCAAAAGTAAGAGAATTCAGCTGTTTGACTCTAAAGGTACGGTTACCTGAAAGAGATAAGACTGAGGTCTAACTGCACCTCATTAGACTTCACCAAGTCCGGTCACATAATTGCTGTCACTCCTGGTGATGTTCATAAAATGTCTTTGTTTTCTGAGGAGGGTCAGTTTGTCGACCACATCGACAGCGAACACGTGAAGTTTCCGTCTCATGTATCCACTGATAACAACGATTACTTAACGATATGTGATCAAGAGAGTAATGAAGTCCTAGTCATCTCTCCGCGGGACAGAGCGGAGTTAGTGACCCGCATCACTGTTTCAGAGCGTGAAAGATCAGTAATGCACGCCATTTATCACGAAGACACAGACCATTTCTTTGTCTCTCATTCCAAAGCTGACCTTGTCAATGTTTGATGAGGACGGAAAATTTCTGTATGAAATTGGTCGTGGAAGGTTAGTTCACCCTGTTGGACTTGCTTTTGACAAATGCAATAATTTGATCGTCTGTAATACTGGAAACCAGAGACTTAAAGTATTTACTATTGAAGGAGAATTTCTCTCAGAGACTGAACAATTTTTCCACACCCCGTATTTCGTTGCTGTGTCTAAAGAAGGGGACGTCCTAGTCACTATTTACGAGAAAAACTGTGTTTTTATCTTTCGATAGACCTGTAATAGCGAAAACAGTGTTAAAGATAAGTCTTACAGCTCGAGTCTAGGGCACAATCATGAGCACAAAACACTTTTTTAACTAGGTAAATAAAGAGAAAGCACAGAAGACAGTAAGCATAAGAACTTTAAAAAAATTGTTTTAACAAGGAAGAATTTATACCAGAAGTGGTATAACTTAACTTAACTAAACAGAACTTGGACGAAAGTCCTAAAATGTCAAAAAATTTAAAACATCCAAATTTTTTGGCTGCTTATTCACTTGATCCAGTTTTTTTTTATGTTAAATGGCTGTAATGAATAGAACATAGCTTATTGAGCGTTTACAGGAAGTTGTTAATGGGCCCTGCACTATGAAACTTTGGTGTATTCCGCAGAGCAAAAAGTTAATTAAGAACATGAATCAGAGATTAAAATACAAGAGGTCGACAATAACTAATTGTAGATTACTCCACTACCATCATAGACATCATAATACCTTTATCTGGTGGTTCCTTACCGATAGGTTGAGGTTTAACCGTAGCAATCCACTTACAGCATCAGTGAATTTTTAGAGTTGTCTTCTCTTAGCCGAGCATATGTTTTGAGGTAGTCCTTAGAGTACTAAGTTGTGTTGCAGTCTTTGTTCCGGCTCTTCAGAGAACGCAAAGCGAAATTTGTGCTATGCCCAATTGGTTGTTTTATAGCGTGCTCTCTTGCAAATGGCGTTAGCCGCAGGCCGAGATTTGGTCACGTGACACAAAATGGTTTTTCTTCCGACGTCGAGATGTTGAGGGAAACATAACATTGCGATGAAATGTTTTGCTCATTTTATTTCGTACAATTCAAGTTCTACATTTTCTCTTGCACGCACCCAATGCGATTATTTTCAACTACAACCTTTAACGGTGTTATTAATTTGAAAAGTTCACAAAACAAAGGCAAATTGCTGTTTTTTACGTTCTGTCGAATGGAATGGTCTTGTACAATTTTCGTGTTTAGAAATTTCATAGCACAATACGATTATTTTTTCTTTTGCGTTTTCATGAACCTGTCTTGATCTGTGCCAGTTTCACCGCACACCTGGTCAATAACGCATACCATATGTATTTGCGGTTTGCACCAGTTAAGGAGCCAGTTTAACCATGGATGTTCAACAGCTGTTTTAAAAACCTCAGGAAATAAGCTAAATGTCCTTTGTGCTTGGAGACAGTCAGAGATCCCAGGACTCTGCCATGCACACACTCGTTCTGTTTGCGACGCCTCGACAAACACGCGAACTACGCAAGAACACAGCTTGAGACGGCAATCAAATGTCCGATTTGTCAACTGACTTTCTGATCCCTGAAGAAGACACCTTTCACGGCCTCCCTGCATCTTTTCATCTCAACCGACTGGTGTATCTCCTTGCAAACTGTTTCGAGTGCCAGAGCTTTCTCTGTTTAACTTGTTTTGAAGCACCTCAGCGCATCAAGGCCTCAAGAGGTCACAGAAATATCTCTGTCGAGAATTTGCAGGCGGACGATGTCGAAGAGTTGATTCACAAACCAGTCATGTGTTCAGAGTAATATCACCAAGATCAACCACTTGAATATTATTGCAAAGACTGTAATGTTTGCACCTGTGTAAAGTGCAGTGTTGTGAGTCATAATCGACACATAGTGGTTAATATGCAGAAAGCCGCAGATAAACAAAAGATGCATATACATGAGGCTTTAAAGAAAGTGAAAGCGGCAGTTGCTATTTTTGAAAATGAAATGGAGCAAACCGAGTTAATGGACAAAAACAAAACACAAATATCGGCTGCCAGAGAGAAGATGAACGAAACTGTGGACGATTGTATTCGCTTATTAACGGATCATGAAGCGATAATGAATGCCAAATTCGATGAAATTAATAAAGCACATTAAAAAGCTCACGCAACACACCTGGAAAACTTCCAGCTTGCTGTTACTCAATTGAATAGTTCTCTTGAATAAGGTGAGAATATTTTAGAAAGGAATATCAATGCCGAAATTTTGCAAACAAAGTCAGTGATTATTGGACGCTGCGAGGACCTTCTTATGTCGAAAAAAACCTGCGATTTACAAACCACTTCATATAAATTATGTAGAACAGAAAATGGATATTTTGGATCGAGTTGTTGTAAATCATACGGATCCATTATTGACACTTGTCGTAAAACTTTGTGAAAAGATAGAAGAACAGAATGAGACATATTTTAGTAATATCACGAGAGATTCAGAAGGAAGACAGTGTTAGAACAAGGATGATCGCATAAAGTGTGACATTTGCTCTTTAACAGGGGATAGCTTGGAAACAGATCTAGAGATTGAGGACAACGAAGATGATAGTTACACATTAAAATAGATAGGTAGATAGATAGATAGATAGATAGATAGATAGATAGATAGATAGCTTTACTAGGAAGTAAAATCATTGCAGCCCCCGGGCCGGCTGAAATACGACTTACTTTATAATGGGAATAAATTATCTCTTATTCTAAGATAACTACAATAAAAGCCGCAAAATGTAATCTACAATAAAATACAATAAGAGAAGTATCAAAAACTAAAATGCAAATAATTAAGATAGCTACTTGTAATTAAAGCTGTTCGCCATGATAAATGTGTTTTTGAACCTATTTGTCTTACAAATCGGTAGCTTGCAGTATCTCTGGCTGCGGGTGCAATAGGTGGACTCGTTGAGTGGAGGCAGCAGATCATGGAGCTTGTGGCTTTCGTCCCTTACAATCTGATCAAATAGAGCATCACACAGGATCTTCCTCCTCTCGTACAGTGACGTAATGTCAAGAGCTACTAGAGCCTCAGCGTAGGATAAATCAGGTGTAGTCATCCGCAACGCGCGTTTTTGCAACCTTTCCATTTCATTAGACAGATATTGCGGCAAAGAATGATGAAAAACTGGGCACGCATATTCTAATACAGGGCGTATACATATTGTATAGAAAAGTAGCATATCCTCAGATGGAACTTTAGCGCGCTTTAGCTGTTTTAGGAAGTACAGAAGCTTTGCAGCCGTTTTGCATATAGATTCTACATGCGCGTTCCACCTGAGGTTGTCGGAGAGGCTAACACTCCTAACAACCTTGCGGATGAAACAACTTCGATTTGCTTGTCATGGATAGTAATATGATTGAACAGACTACCTGATCTGGAGAATGATATTTTCAGTTCTTTACATTTAGACTCATTGAATTGGAAACCCTCAACTGATGACTGTCTTACAAGTTCATTTACACGTAACTGCATGTAGCTAGACTCATTCTTCAATACTGATTCGACAAGAGTGGTGTCATCAACGTATTTCCAAAGAATTGTGTCTGCTACAGAAAGATTATTTATCATGATAAGGAACAGCCAGGGGCCCAATTTCGTCCCCTGTGATACCCCTTCAGGAACAGCTTCCAACTCCGAGAAGCAATCGCGGCTCAGTTTTATCCTTTGCTTGCGGTTCGTGAAAAAGTCCATGATCCAGCACAATATCGACCTTGGAATATCGTAGGAGGAAAGCTTCCGCGCCAGAACATGATGGTCAATCAGATCGAATGCCTTCCGGAGGTCAAAGAGTACAACTCTCGCAGTCGATCCATTTCCATCCGTTGACTTCGCCCAAGAGCGAATCATACTAATTAATGCATGCGTGGCGCTGGATTTAGGCGCCGTTCCAAATTGCTGTGAGTCGATCTATAAGAGAACAGCGAGCTTAACATAAGTGTCGACAACGTACTCCTCCGCTATCTTTGACAAGATTGGAGTCAGGGAGATAGGTCGAAGGTGTTTGTTTATGTCCTGCATGGGTCTTTGCTTGGGCACCGGCACGACATCCGCTTCTTTCCATGAATGCGGGAGACGACCTTCGCGATAAGATAAATTGAGAATATCTGGTATCGGCGCTGCCAGTAAATCTGCATTTTCTTTCAACACCCACCCTGGAATGCCATCAGGACCATGCGCTTTGCTTCTGTTCAGTTTCGTCAATTTCTTATAAATCGACTCGTTTGATACAGCAAGCGCAGGTTGTTGGGTTGCACTGTTAGAGGGTGTTATGACAAAATCAGCAGGGAGCGGAGAGAAACACTGCATAGGCGTGAGAAAGGCCTTATTGATAGTGTTGGCAAGAGAGATGTCATCTGAGGGCCCATACAGGTGTTGCAGGGACTTCGTGACGTAAGATCTCTCCGTGAAAGCCGGAGAACAGCCGCTAAGCTTTTTGATCTCATCCCACCACGCGGACGGCCTACACTTCTTCAAGTGCTCCACCTTCGCTTGAAAGTACTTAGCTCGACACGCTTTTCGTTCGCGATTCACCCGATTCCTTAGCTCCCGAAACTGTTGATTATCCCCACGGGAAAGCGCGCACCGGCGTGCTTGAATAAGATCTTTGAGTGTAGATGTGATCCAAGGGGGCTCAGTAGAGTGCACCCTCCGGGATTGAATAGGAAGAATATGATGAAGTCCTGTTTTTATGATCTGTTCCAGGAGCGAGACCTTTTCGGCGCACGTTTTCAAGGCGCAAGTCAAGGTGTTCACATCCACAGCATCCAATTAGGTGCCCATTGCTTGGCGCTTACTGGGGCGCAAATCTCTCGTCTTAATAGTGATAGTGGGTTGCTTTACATGTGCTCTCTCTTTCGGTTGGAGCTCAATTGAGGCATGGCCAGATAAACCGAAAGGCAGGCGTTCAATGGGATCCTGATAATATTCAGAAATATTGGCAAGGATTAAATCAAGTGTCGTTCTGCCCCGCGTTGGAAAATGGACTATTTGCTTTAGCTGGAAATTATTACGGAGGCGTGTGATTTGCAATCTGTCAAAATCCCCAGCAATCAGAATACCACAGTTGGGATAGCACGATTTAATGGTTGATAAGCACTTGATTAAATATTCCATTATTGCTGGGTCACTGGCGCTTGGCGGATGATAAAGCGTCCCAACAACAATAGAATTACATTCCCTTGGGAGACGAAACGGCCTCAGTTTTGCCCAAAGCATTTCGAAAGATGGCTCTTGTAACTCAGCCAGAGCAGTGAAATCGATCGTATCCTTGATGTACATACAAACACCGCCGTGTTCAGATTCGATTCTGTCCCTGCGCATAATATTAAACCCCTCTAAAGCAACCACGTTGTCATGAATAGAACTCCGAAGCCAGGTTTCTGTGATGCAAATACAATCCAAATTTGCATTCTGAACAACATGGCGTAATTCATCGATCTTAGGAGCCAAGGACAGACCATTTGAGACCAAAAAAGATGGAACATAGGTCGACGACAAACCTCCTTTTGGGCTTGTGGGGGACATGGTGACCGATATCAAGTTCGCTGGGTTTCGGGAACGGTGAATTCTTGTTAATGTAGCAACACGGTTAGGATCCCGTGGTTGAGCAACGCTGATAATAATAATAATAATAGTAATAATAATAATTATTATTATTATTATTATTATTATAAATAATTTAGCAATGGAAATTCCACAGGGCGGCTCTTCTTGTCCGCTGTCAGATGGTAACGATCGTTTCCTCTATCTTTGACGAGACGTCCTGCTCTTTTACCGAGGTATCGTGGCCAGAAGGTCTCAGACAGTCCATTAGGAAGTCTTACTAAGCGACTAAGAGCCATTTTTTTTGATTGGCAAGCGAAAGGATACAAGCTAAGTTAACTAGAGAGAGATAAAAGTGCAGCCATGTGCAGCGCATTTACATAAATATACACCACGTCAAGCTGGATTATATGAATTGAAAATTGAAGTTAATGGACAGCCGCTGGATCAAGATCCGTGGACAGTTCAGGTCATAAATCAGTACTTATGATTAAAAAAATTGCCGAGAAGAACTGCAGTCCGACCTCTATTAAGCGGCCACCCCCGGGACTTTGAAAAGTGGACGCTTAATAGAGGTACAATTTTAATTGGATAGGAATGGCAGAAAACATGATTTTATTGACTCTGTATAGCAAAATGCTTTTAAAAAGTAAACATATATGTAGATAAATCCAAAATTAATTGTAACAAACATCAAGTGCATTCCAGCCCGGTCATGCATAGTTCTAGCTCTAAAACAGAGGGCACGTAGGACTTATGGCCCTATGACTTATAAAATTTCTCAAGAGGCCAACAAACAAAGGAAGAGCTATTGTGAAAGGCAAACACGTAAACAAGGGGCCGGCCATGGTTTAGAAATTCCATGCGAGTACTGCTTCACAGGAGACGAGTTTCCGATTCAATGGTTAAAATCTAAACTTGAGGAGCATGAATTGTTGTAGATTAATTTCCAGTACAGTAGTAATAAAGTTTTCCTGTACAGATTTTGGTTGTAACAAAACAGTGGTATAGCTCCATCCTCAGGGGACCCTCAGATAGTCAGATTGTTTGAGTTCGTAAAGATTATTATGGTTTGTCAAGTCACGTTCCTTTATTCGTAGCCGTATTTCTCGCTGTTTATAGCTAAATTTGACCGGTTTTTCGCGAAATAAATTTGTTCACGCAGTACTATCTAATTTAATTTAATAATAAGTTCTTATATAGCGCATTAAAATTGAACTCTATGCGCTTTACAATTACAAAATTAACAAAATTTCAATAAAAATCCTATACATGCAATTCGCTACTCTATCTAAACTAATGAATTATTACGTGTTATACATATGTTTGACAACGTACGATATCAAAAAATCTGGTGGCTTAATTTTTGAAAAGATAAGTTTTCAATAAGCGTTTAAAGGAGTCAACAGATTCGGCGTTTTTTATGCATTCAGGTAGTTGATTCCACAAATACGGTGCGGCGTAGGAGAATGCTCTTTGCCCATACGTTTTAGTTCGAATTGTTGGGACCTCAAGTAGATTCATATTTGATGAACGGAGGTTTCGTGCTGGAATATATCGACTAAGAAGTTCAACAAGATAGGTTGGAGCCATGTCATTTAGTGCTTTGTATGTTATCAACAGTATCTTGAATTGAATTCGTTTTGTGACCGGGAGCCAATGAAGTTTCATAAGTATAGGTGTTATACTGTCTCTTGATTTAGCACCGACTAACAAGCGGGCAGCTGTGTTTTGGATCCGTTGGAATTTTTCGATGTCACAAATCGGTAGACCGTACAATAGGCTATTACAGTAATCAAGTCTCGATGAGATGAAGGCATGTATCAATCTTTCATTTTGCTGCGTCGAGAGGTATTTACGAACGCGACCAATATTTCTGATTGCTAGAGACGACGATTTACAGATGGAATTTATATGCGAGCGTAAGTTCATCACAGAATCAAGCATGACGCCTAGGTCTCGGACAGTATTAGATAAATTAATGATATCATCTCCAATATTGATATTACAGAAAGGAGGATTTTTTGAGAAGCGTGAGAGGAAATGAATGATTTCTGTTTTTGAAGGGTTGCACTGCAATCTGTTTTTCTTGGCCCACTCCATGATTGCATTAACACATGATTTCAATCTTTCCATGCCTAGCATTCTGTCAGAGGAGTTAATCTTTATGTAAAGTTGCGAATCATCAGCATATATCATACAGTTTAGGCCATGTTCAGCAACAATGTCTTCTGTAGGCGAGGTATACATTAGAAAGAGTAGTGGACCAAGTACTGATCCCTGGGGTACGCCGTAGGAGATATGTCGAGGCTTAGAGATGGAGTGTTTGATCTTCACTGACTGAACACGATGTTCTAGGTATGATTTGAACCATTTCAACACCAAAAGCGTAAGTGCGACCCCTGCCTTATTTAAAGTGATGGTTTTAAACAATCAATTAATTAATCAATTAAAGAACAACCAAGAGAGAATATGCACCACTGAGGTGTCCAGGCTGTGAGCTTTGGTTTGCAATCAAAGGGTGCTGAGAAGTGAGTGTTAAGTTACAATTGGACTATTCTGACGTGCCTTGAAAAAAATTAATTTCGTTTTCTTCCTTTTTTTTATACAAGCGCAGCTGCTGAAATAAAATAATTAAAGCTTTCCTTCAAGCTTTCCTTTTGTTCAAGAGTTCAACGGCTTTCGATGCTACCTAAGTGTAAGGAAAGACCGCAGATTGCCATATGTTGCTTAGAATTATTAGGTAAAAAAGCTCATCTTTCAAACCGGCAGTCTAAATCCCACAGGTATCAACGAACGCTTTTCATTCCACTCATTTATTCGTGTTTTTCTCGTTGCCATGTTCCCACCAACTACCCACGATTCCTCTATTCGCTCCGACGAAGGGCGAACGCTCGAAACATCAGCTTTTATAATCGTAACGGTGGCCAATTTACCATTTCAACTTTGTTGATATATTCAAATTATTTCGTTACCCCCACCGACGCAGCCCCAAACAGTTTCTTTAGAAACTATCAGCCTTTCTTCATAATGGTTATAAATCCAATGAAAACTGCTCCCGCAGATGAGCTTTGTGCGATTCAAGCAATATCGCTTCAACTTCAGAAGGGATCTCGATGTACTCCGTTGTGAAGTAGGGGAATCGTACCTTCATGCACTTATAGTCAGCACGGTAAAATCTTGTTGCTTCCCGGTTTGAAACTTGTTTGTTTTTCCAATCGCCGTCGACAGGGAAGTAAAACCTTTCTTTGTGTTCAAACACCAGGTCATGGGGGGAACCATACGAACTCGGTGGCAAAACTCATTTTTGCATTGCTTGCAGGTCTTTACTTCTTTCGGTAGTATTCTCAGCACGAAGGGGTTATCGTTGTGATGAATTTGAGTGTACGCGTGACCTGTTGACTGCTGGGACGTCGTTTCAGTAGAGCTTTGCCGTTGCGCAGACGGTTGGGGACGATCTGGATTTCGACATGATGATCCTTTTTTACCAGCGACTGCTTTGTCAACGTTAGCCTCCGCTAGTACTGATCTCTGGCCTTCATTGTTTGAATTCTTTACAACATAACGAATATGCTCCTCGAGCATTCTTACTCGTTCTGCAACTGCTATCGAGTGCTTGCAAACGCTGTCGTACTTAAAGCTAAGGCAACGGCATTTAACATGGTCTTTGTTGACAATGCACTCGACCTTCCCATTTTTGGCGTCCCTAGCTGCCACCTCAAAGGTATTAGCTGCCTTCAATGTCATCTTCTTTCCAATAAGAGCACACTTGTCCTCTAAGTATTTTGACAACTGCGGCTGATGGGCATCATCTTTTTTTAGTAGTTCCTTCTCCCTCTTGTCAAACTCATCTCGACGAGGGAGCAGTTTCTGCTTGACTTCTTTTTTGTCTTTAGCGTCAACAATTCCCTCTTCTTTTCCCTGTATCCCAAACACCTTGTCGAGAAAATACTTTTGCGACTTCTTATCCCAAATTCCAATCTTATGCAATGCTGTCTTGTAGTTACCTTCAAAGTGCTTTACACATCGGAGAGCTGTGGCCTTCGGTAAGTCACTCTTCAACGCCATTTCAAGGGCAGTTTCACCGTCCGTTACTTACCCCCTACACTTTTCCAGACCTTTACAGGCGGCAGCACAAGTCGACGAAAGAACTTTGTAAGTCTGGAAGTCTTCCCGGTGATGTAACATTGTGGGTCTAAGAAAGATCGGATTATTTCCAGTTCTCTTTGAAATCAGGAAGAGGTGCCTGTACACCACTGGGGTAACCTCAAACTGGCCAAAATCAAATGTCGGATCGACCGTTATGGGATGGCTCAGCTGCTCACAGGAAGTAAATTTCCCCATGTCACGACACATAACCTCAGTTCCGAGGACCCAAAGGTCTAATGGCATATCTTGGTGTCACAGAATTACTTTTTCGTCTTTCTTTCGTGCATATACAAGCAGATCCTCGACCGGGTCGTCCTTTTTCTTTCCCTGAACTTTCAGGTCCGACACCTGTTTAAAGGAGCGTGGAAGAGATCCGGGTGTTCTTGCTCGAGATAGTCCTCCAACTTTCTTGTTTATCTCCTTGTAAACTCGGACCGGTGTCGCTTCCTTCACTTTTAGCTTTATTGCATCAAGGGTACACTTTGCCGTTGGGTAGAAAGGTTTGTTTGCATTTCTGCGGCTGTTTCCATGGGAAGTTACCTCAAACTTTACTTCTTCATTGTAGGTCATTTAGATCATTTTAGGTCTTTCCTTGTTTCCGTAACTACGACGTCGGAATAGTCGAAATTGTAACTTTACATTCACTTTTCAGTACCCTCTCGAAATTCATTTTTCTCAAGACACGTCAAAATAGTCCAAATTGTAACTTAACATTCACTTCTCAGCACCCTTCTCGCGATTGCAAACCAAAGCTCACAGCCTAGACACCTCAGTTTATTGAGAAAAACATGTTTCCTTACTCGGAACTGGTCAGCTCAGACGACCACCACAAA